CATCGGCGAGCAGCAACCCTACAATCAATATTATATGGATAATTCCGCAGTACCACTCAATGTATCGTTTTTTTAGGGTATCAGTGTGGAATGCAAAGCATACACTCCTAACGCTCTACACATTATAAATCTTTTGCCACGGTATCTTCACTAGTAATGATGCACAAAATTATTTTTTTATTTAAATTTTATCAACATAAACTTGTTCAATATTTAAGGTTTTGAAAAATCCTCCTATTTGTGCACTTATATTAAAGTGATATTCCGTATCGTAGCGAAGCTTTCTGCTTACGTAGACCAGATTGAACCTGATAGCATAACGGGACACAAACTGTCTAAGTATTACCACAACATATTTTTGAGAAGAATACAGAAAGTGGTTTAGAAAATACGAGACTTTCAAAAACCTAAGTTGATTTTTTTTTTGCCAAATTTTCTCTCGCTTGAAAATGGAGAGAATCAAGTTGACATCCGTGTACTTTTGCTCATTATTTCATCTTTCTTATCAATTTCCAATAATCTTCCTACAGTCTCTTGCAGCCTGTGTTCGCATGTATATATAAAAGGCATGTATTAAAACACAATAGTTCAGGTCAAATGACTTGGAATAACATTGAATAACAGTGATTAACATTTGATGGACCGTATGTGCTATCTTTAAAACGGAAGTTAAGGAAATGGGTAATGAACCGAGCTTTTATTCCTCCAGTTATTAGAGAGTGAGATTTACAAATCTGATAGGAGACCTGCCAATTGGCGGAAATGTTTTTCAGTTAACTTTGGAACAGGCAGAGATAGTTATATTTTAGAACGGAAAACGGGTGGTTTAAAAAGTTTATCATATCTATGAAATATATCTTTTTCTTTTTGAACAGCGACAAAAATGAATCATGGATCACTTATAATCTATGATTTTTTTTTCTTTTCTGTTAAATCTGGGAACCTGATGCCAATGTAACTATCCGACTTTTTTATGAACTAACAACGCTAGTCTTGACATATTTATTTTAAGCAAATAATCTTGATTCTTTTCTTCTTTTACTGTTCCGATGTCACTTCTCATTGAAATTGTAATTATCGTCATCATTCGCGATCTTTATGTCCTCTTTTCAGAGATAATGATGCAAACAAAAGTAAAAATGATATAAGCAAGGAAAAAAGAAATAGAAAAAATGCAGTGGTTATATCCATTTAGAGATAAGTTTCTTCCAAGTGCAGATTCTATTTGATGATTCTCATTTGATGAACTCCATATTTATTGTAAGGTACCCTTACGAAACACTCTGCTACTTAATTATTATACATATCATCATTAATTTTATGCAGTTAATAATATTTTATATGTTATGTCATAACAAGAGTGCAAGAAGATACGACTTTCATGTTTTATACGAGCACGAGTCTTCACAAAATCTTGATAATTTGAAAATTGATCTTATTACTAAGAAAAAAATGCATGTATTACAGATGCAGAGAACACTGAAGCAGACATTCTATAAAAATTTCTTAGTATTTTGGGGTCATATAGGACGATACCGTTGGATCATTTCCTAACCAGGAGATACTGAAAAATGTCTTCATCTGATATATTATGAAGGAACACAGCAAAACGAATGTCAACATTATTTATAATAAGTGTCCAGAATATTATATTTGTCTTCGAGTGTTTAAAAAGCAAATAAGTGGATGCATTATTACATCTTTGTATGAAGAGCTGCAATGCTTACAAAGTGGTATGGTATTAGCTGGAACAGTGATCAAAACGTTTGCGATTAACTGTATGTCTCGTCTTATTTTTGGATTTTGCTATAAAATTTAGGGTTTTATAGAAGTATGAACATTTTTTACATCTTTCGTAGGACGTATCGGTGTGGCACATGTTCAAAATGCACGCGTTTGCATACTTATGAATAGTAATGTTTAATAATTTGTCTCCATAATATTTATCCTGGAAATATATTGTCTCTAAACCAAATTTCAATAAATACATAAATATTGTTTTGTGTAAAATGCTACATATATTGGGGATAATTTTTATGTTCTTTAACATGTTTTTATAGTATAATCTGAATAAATATTATTTGTCTGATATTTGGCCAATCCTGACAGTCATAAGAGACTCATGGTATCATAATTGTTTTGTACAAACTGAGGAAGGTAAGCGGATTGGCTCAAATTTATATTTGCCAATCCCTAATTGATAATAAATAATTTTCTGCCGTTAGTACAAGTCCTGTTTACTTTTGTCAAACATTTCATATTGAAACTAAGAGGATTTGTTATAGGATAAAACGCCATTTTTCAGCACAAGGTAGGATGCACATGGCAGCCAGTATAAATGGTGGAGAAAGAACCCGTCAAAACTCTGGCAATAACCAATGACCCACGATAAGTAATTAGAAAGCTTTCTCATGTACCCACATCGGCTGAGCCCGAAACTTGAAACCACGCAGACAAAGGTAAAATTGCAGTTATCCGTGACTGTGAGCTCTTTAGACCACTCGACCACTCAAGACCCCCTGAACTAACAGGAATTACAATATGTCCGGTTTCATTTACAATAGGTATAGTATGAGTGCCTATTTTCCATTCAAATCTCTCTCATGCTATTTGTCTATCCTTGCTAAAAACTAATAAACAACTTTTATTAACGTTGAAGGTGAAGTTCCATTTCAGGGTGTATCTGTTATATATATATATATATATATATATATATATATATATATATATATATATATATATATATATATATATATATATATATATATATATATATATATATCAAGCATCTTTTGCAAATGGATTGGTGAGTATACAGAGTTATATTATTCGCTAGTGCTTGATTTCCAGATGGAGAGGTCACAACAAGTAGTCCTAATTGGGACTCCTGTATTTCTTGAAGAAGGTTATTAATGCAAACAATGTACAAGAATGTTGATTAAAAAACAACTCCCTGCCAAATGCCGCGTTTTATTGGAAAATGTTCTTATTTTGATTCATTTATGTCAGGACAATGCTTTGTATGCTTTGATTCATTTATTACGTGTGCAATCTTTCCTTGGATGCCCATTTTCTGAGAATTTTCGGAAGACTTTGGACTCGGTCGTAATTCGCAGTGTCAAATGTCTTGAATATCTTAAATAGTAGCAAACCCTCTTGAACCTATTTATGAAGTGAAAAAAAGCTTTTTGTAAATTGAAGGATGCTGTTATCCTATCCAATCCCTTTTGAAACCCTTGTTTCTCGGTATTAGGGAAGTTATATATAGTACTATTACACAATCTAGTCATTCTGTAAAATAAACACTTTTCAAATAGCTTGTATAATACAGGTAAAAGGTAAATAGCTAATTGTCAGAGTCAGCTTTAAATTTCTCTCCACCTTTAAATATGAACACAATAACACTACTTTTCAATAAATATGTAACACTGGTCTATTACCACTTTTTGATAGCATTATGATTAATTCTCTAAGTTGTTTCCATTCGTAACGTAATTGTAAATTTTGAATGTCAGTACTGCTGGGCTTTCCTAAGTTTTAGCTGTTTGATAACAGAGGCTATTTCTTTATAACTAAATTTTGTTCTTAAGATAGTTTCAACAATACAGAACGTGTCCGTTTGTCTATGATTTACAAATATGTCTTTAAATAGAGTGTACAATTTAGAAAAAAAAAAACTATTTTAGCGAAAACCGAGTTATTTCATCCGGAGAATACACTAGTTTGCCGTCATATTTTAATTCAAAACAACATTTGGAAAATTCACATGTTAGGTTGTTTGTTGTACAGCATCCAAATAAGCGTAACGTCTAATTCAGCTGCTTCATTGAAGTCATTAAAATTTGCATCTTCGTGGATCGTTATCGCAAATTCTTCAGCGTTTCTAAACTGCCCTTTTGCAGTTTATATTACTTGTAAGATTTATGGGCATGCTTTCGCGGCCTTCCATTTTATATCTACTTTTCCCAAAAGTATCGAGCTTTATTGTGAGCTATCTTAACTTCAGGTGACCGATAGGGCTTTGTGTGAGGATTAAACTATACAGCCACAAAAGCAAAGGTGCTGCGAATATCATGATAATCTGAAACTATGCATGCATCGTAGTTTTAAAAAAAAATCACAATCAGCAACTTAATCTAGCATTCCCCTGTTGATAATTGTAGTCAAGAGCTATCTGCATGGCTGAAACGTGATGAAGAGACATTTATTTAAATTTGGCTTTTTCAGTGATATCAAATCGTCGTTATCAACAAAAAGATGTGAACATGCTGCATTTATGCCATGCACATAATCAAGACGGTACTTCATTATCAGGCACTAAACCATGCAGTGGAGTACCAAGGGTTAAAGGCGCCTGGGGTCAGTGGCGTCAATAGCGACCAGGGCGACGATGATGACCTAAAAGGTCAGAATGATAAGCCCAAAGGCTGAAGCTAGGGATGGTTCTTGGTAATTATCCGCCCTATTCATTTTAAAAAAATGATAGTAATCAAATAAATTATTCTCAAATCTCGAGCTCATATATTTTTACTCAGCTGCGTTTAAAATCTGTTGACTTATTGTAGTTAACGAAGATAATGTCTCAGTTTTTCTTCCCCCAGTTAAAATGCCACAAAACATCACCTCAAATTTTTCTTCCTAGTTCTTTCTGATAGCCATATAAAAGTTACTCATCAACGCAACCTGCTCCTTAATATCGCTATTTTGATCATATATCTGAAAATAATTATATAAATAAACATAGCGCTTGTTGATAACACATTGTTTGAAGCAAAATTGTATATTTCAATAATTATCACGGTATATTGTTATATTCCCACAGCTACATGTTTTTGTTATGTACATTTTGTTGCCATGTGCTCTGTTCTTTGAGGAATGTTAAGAGAGATTACACTGCAGACAGTCAACTCCTGTTTAAATCTAAATCTTTAATAATGATTGTAAATACATTGTAACTAATATACATTCATTATTTTAACCTAACTTTGGCCTTGAGGACATCTCCGGTGGCCCAGTGGTTAGTGCGTCCGCCTCGGATGCGGATGGTCGCAAGTTCATACCCCAGTTGAGTGATACCAAAGACTTAGAAAAATTGTTCTAACAGCTACCTCGCTAGGCACTCAGAATTAAGAGATCAATGTTAGAATTGGTCGGTCATGTGTTAGGATAATGTTACTGAATGGGACATGATGTTTCATGCATGATGCTCCAGTGCTAGACATCACAATAAACTGTCATACTGCAGACATCGTAGTGATATTGCTGAAAAATTGTTAAAGTTACGTTAAAAATAAAAATTCCAAAACACACAAACTTTGGCCGTAGCATATTATATACGATTTTAGAAAATGTAAAAGAGATTTGAGAACTCAAAAAGTCGTTTATTCTAAAAATGCATGCTCGTTCTAAACGCTGATTGACACATTTGAAGCAAATAAAAACAAAATCATTGCATCTATAAAGTTAAAATTCATTATTACAAAACACACAAACTTTGGTCGTGGCATAATTACGATTTTCGAAATAAATAAAAGAGATTTGTGAACACAAGAAACTTGTTATTCAAAAGGTTCTGGTTGATACATTTAAAGCAAACAGAAACAAAATCATTGCATCGATAAAGTAATGGAAACCCAAGTTGACAACCTGCTTCATATATGATAGGTATAATTATTCAACTTAAATTGCATTACTCACATATAGGTATAGCCCTAGGAAACCTCTTGGCATATACACATATACAATGTTTGGCTAAAGATGTTTTTTTGTAAAGAATGTAACAATCTTGCATACTTCCATTGTTTGATTATGTAGAAAATATCTGTAGTAACTGAACGATGCAAGAATGAATTGTCAGACAAAAGGACTTCAAGGTTATGAAAATATTGTATCAGATATTATCAACCTCCCATTAGTATATGAGAAAACAAGTTAGAAAAGATTGACTTCACGATGCTGTGTACAGTTTATCATGATTTTGTTCTAATATATTTAAAAGGGGAAGTTAAATCTTTACATTTTGAAAATAACGCATACATATCTTTTCTATAACAATAACAAATCTGTGTACGATGACCTCGAATCAAGCGTCAAATATTAATTCTTTATTTAATAAATAAGGAATAATTCACTGTTTAACAAAATCGTAAATTGTTTCAGAAAACCAAATATTTCAAGTTACTATTTAAAATTCTTCGTCGAAAAGGTTTAAAAAAGGAGGAAACATGTCAGATAGATTATGATTCATTTGTATATTAATTGCCAAGCAATAGACACCGTAGATGTTGACAGGTCAAAACAGGGGACCATCTTATCAAAGTGTCCAAAATATAGATTTATAGATCGTATTTTCTTGACGATGACTTGCATTGCATTAATTATAGTAGAGTTTATTAATATTCTAAGATATATGGAAAATATTGATACACATTATATTCGACCATGTAGAACTTTATGTAGGCATCTAAAGAAGTTTAAGAAGAGTTGAGTCATTTATAGGTAACAACCTTATTGTATCGTTATTAATACATTATATGTGTAACCTTATTGTATCGTTATTAATACATTATAGGTACAACCTTATTATATAGTTTTTAATACTTTTCTTTTTCGTGTATTATGTGTACTCGAGCTGAATACATTCATATGCTTTATTGACAGGATTGCTTAAGTCTGTTGTTGTTATTTATTTACGCCATTTTTCAGTTCAGCACAATACATGTTATACATGGCAGCATACTTAACTGGTAAAGGAAGAACAAAGGAAAGCACTAAGAAAAACCATCGACCCACGGGAAGCTACTGGCAAGATTTTTCACATACCCGCATTTACCGAGCACGATGTTAAAATTTAAGATACAAACAAGTTGCTAAATAAAGGCATGAAAAAAATGACAAAAATTTATGCCAGTCGTTTATGAAAAGCTATATTTGTACAAATGTGTTAATGACTTTGCTTCCGCATGAGGAAACTTTTACCATGTATCTCCCAGCAGAAATCAAGAATAATCAATATTTTCTGTGGGAAGCACATAGCATGATTTGATATAAATCATTTCAGTGTTTCTTCTGACATGGCTACTAGATTAATGTTTCCATTTTTAATGAGCAATTAGCGGCTCAGGTTACTGCAACAATCACCTAAATTTACGGCAATATGTGTAGGCTAACAAGTTAGGAATAAGCAAATATTTGTTGTCACATTAATAGTTTATCTAAGTTTTGTCCCTAAACCTGTGGGACCCTGAGGGAACAATTACACTATGATATTTATTTAGCTACGTTTATCTCAAGAAACTTCGTGGAACAAATGTAGTTTTAATACATATGTGGCAAAGGCAAATATTATCTGGATTATATACTGATAAAGAAGTTTTTGCTTAAGTATTGTAACAAATCATGATTTATTCAAAATGTTTTCATAAATCTAATTAAATTGAAACAGTTTTTATAAAATATTATGAATGTTCTCAACTCCTGACTTATAGCTGCATTATATGGGTAATAACCCCAATACCGTTCAAAGTATTTATAATCATAAATTATTTGTATCCGATAGACGACAGTTTTCGCTTTTCTTTTTTAAACTTTTTTGTCCTCTCTTGGTTAGTAAATATATCTTTGAGCAAGCTCACCCTAAATCATATTAGTATGAGTAGATTTTTAGAAACAATTTTAATAATGGTGTTTTTATGTATCATGTTCTCCATGTCTTTTACCCAACATCGACGATTTTAGACAAATACAGAAATAAGAATTAGAGAAAATTTTACTGCAACAGAAAGAGGCAGAACAAGCATTTCTTCTTGAACAGCAACAGCGAGAAGAAGTGACAAGAAGGAAATGACAGGAAGAAAAAACAACAGAGAAGAAACAAATGTTAGAAAAGAAGGAGAACAGTGAAAGTCAAACGATCACGTTACTCTTGGATAGTTTTGCTTAATTAAGAAGTCTGGAACAAATGCATCAGATTTTGTTTTTCACGACCCAAGAGAAAAGACCATTCCCGAGCAAAACAGCCTAACCCTGTGAATACACCAGATACAACCTTTAGTGATTTCTACGAAATCATTGACAGGACCAAGTCCACAAGTAGGCCTTGGCAGTGGCAAAGGCTTCAGTCAGTTAAAGTAAATTGCTTCTCGTTCCTGAGTTTGTTCACAGGACAAAAAAAAACCACCCAACAGTCCTTTCCAGGACAACCCATTTCTTTCAAAAATAGTTAATTTTCATTTGGACAAAATCAATGAAAACTAAAAATCACTTATATAACTCTAGTATGTATGTGTGTGAATGCATAAGTGTAGACTCTTATTCTAAAAAATCAAAACCAGGAGACACGTTTTATCAATCTGGTCTATTCTGGTACAATTTTTTACAATGGAATTCACAACAGAGCACAACATTTTTTAAACATTTATAGACTTCTTCTGTGTTGGTTTTTGGTTCTCTCTCTCTCTCTCTCTCTCTCTCTCTCTCTCTCTCTCTCTCTCTCTCTCTCTCTCTCTCTCTCTCTCTCTCTCTCTGTCTCTCTGTTTTTGTTTAAATTTCTTTACTTTCAAGGTTTCTCCTCTTATTCCTCCATTCCTCCCTTTTTCTCTCCTTCTTTTCTTCTTCTCTTTCGCAACATATCGGAGTTTTGTTTTTGCCGAGGGTACCTCTTCTGCCTCCTCCTTCTCCTGCTCATACTCCTGTTGTTTCTTGGGGCACTCTGAAGACCAATGTTCTAGCTCTTGACAATGATAACAGGTATCTCGACTTTTATCACTTCTGACACTGGTTATTTAACGGTCTGGACATTCTGTAGCCCAATGTCTTGTATTCTTACAGATACAGCAAGTATCTTGACTTTTATTCTAAAGAAGGAAGAATAGTTCGTCGGATTGTCTGAAGAAAACTTTCGTATGAAGCATCGCAAAGCTTTAATCAAAATTTCCGTCTGTGTCTGTTCTTCCATTTTGCTGATTGGTTTGAGAGCAAAATGAATACTGAGAGAGAAGTCAACAGCCCTTTATATATGCACTGGTCTGACAGGAATATATACGGGACCACGCCTCCGACCCTTTTAAGTCGTTGCTGTAGAAAATTTTGTGAATTGTTCATGGAGCAAAGAAGGATCGATCCTTTGAAAGAAACCTGCACCATTGCCAAAGCGTGTTCCTTAGTGTACTGCCAACGATTCATGCCCAAAAACACGCTAGCTATCATCAGTCCTCAAACAACCAATTTTGTTAAATGTCAATACTCAGTCAAAGCCTTACGCTGGTTACATTACTTATGTGACAAGGAAGACAAATGGATTTAACATGCGCCCAACGGAGGAGGTGGAAAAGCCGTCGGGAGGTATTCAGTGGATGGCTGAGATTTAGAAAAAAAAACATATCGTATACGAGTTTAACCTTTGCTTATTTGATGGATGTCATATCTGCTACCCTCAACGTAACACTAAAAACCAATTTTTACAACGCGCAATGGAAGAGTTGTACCAAGCCACATGTCAGCGGCGCTTGAAGTTAGAAGATTAGGGATACCAGGTAGTGGAAATGTGGGAATACAAGTACGATCAGCGATTGAAAATCGATCCCGAGTTTAAGCGCATCTTGTCAAATTACAAGCTGGTGGACCCTCTTAACCCACGGGATGGCTTGTGCGGAGGACGGACGAATGCCATCTGTTTACTGTATCAAGCCGACGAAGAGAAAGGAGAATTAATTAGATACTTGGACGTGTGCTCGCTGTATCCTGCATTGCTTTTCTTGTTTCACACTTGTATGATTCCCCAGTAAGCCGATCAACAGTACTTCACCCCATGCAATACAAACATACGACCTAAACGACAAATACAATAAAACTATTTATATTTCAAATTACTTAACACGTATAAATAAAAATATCCAGATAATTTCCTATCTTTAGAAATTAGAGAGGCTCCATCTTACGAAACTAATCCATTCTATGATAAAGTCTCGCGAATGATGTACATTACGTAGCTTGCTCCAAGACACTAGCTATTTACTTAGGATGAAAACAACAAAATCAACAATTGATCATTAAAATCCAACAGTTGTAAAGAGA